AATATATTTAATATTAATGGGGTTTTTTTTTTTTTTTTTAATCAATTTCGTATCTAATTTTTTTATAATTTAAAAATAAGAAAAAAAGAAAAATAAAAATATATGACGAAACGACGACCATACGGTAATACGATTTCGTTGACTTTGGCACACACGGCAGACATGAAATGCATCAATGAATTTTCTCAATAGCAACGTAGATAATCCAGTTGAAATTAATCGTTAGGTCTAAAGGAATGAAATGAATTAGAGTCGTCTAGTCTAGGGTAATCGTACTTTCATTGTTTGACATATACGAGGCGTAATTTGAGCGTCGAGTTTATAATATATGAAAAGAACATGGTATGATGTATATATATATACAGATGCATATATGCATGCGCAGAAGTAGCGATGTTTCGCGAGCATTGCAATATTTATATCGGTCAGAAGTGGTGGCAACTAATTTTATTGGCCACCGTTGTGGCATTTTCGCTTCAAAACGAGAGCAAAGCTGTCCCATGGAATTATTCATCCATTAGCTCGAATCTATTTATCTTAAAAATGAGAAATTCTCTTTCAAATATCCAACATATATTTCGAAAGAATGTTCATTTTCTTTTTTTTTAGAGAAAATATATTGCAAGAAATTAGAACGTTCAATCGATGCTTTCGCATTACTCTAAAACAATCTTATCTCTGTGATCTGTAAACGTAAATTACTTTTAATGTAAAAAGATTAATTTCCATATTTCTATCGATCAATTTATGGGAATTATTGTGATTATAGTTTTCACTTTGTTCAGAAATAGAATATTATAACGATCTGTGTAAATCATATTGGATCTAAAGATATTATTATTTAGTTCTATATATATATATTTTGTTTTTTATTGATCAACTTACACGAATTACAATAATTACACGAAGAATAGTTATTAAGTATATGCGTTAGGAAAAAATAAAAGATCGATTCGTAGATCAAACGTTCGATATGATTTTCCTTAATGGTAAAAAATGTACCGTAAGTAGGAGAATCAAAAATGTTTAATTAATGAGTTTGTGTGTATGTGTACGTATGCAGTTGAATAATGAGAAAAGTTTAAGCTAATTATCGAAACTATATAAGCAACTAACTAATTAACTGGATTCTTTTATTGAGAAATCGAAACGACGATTCGTATGGTCCTTAGAGGAGGGAAAAAGACGCTTTTCCGCAACATTTGTTGCAACCCATTGCAAACATAGTAGTTCCACAACATCGTCCGACTTAAAGCCTTTAATCAACAGCCATTAAATGATCGCGACACGTGTCGACACCTTCTCGTAGA